CTGGGTGAATGTGCAGTAGTAGCAGCAAGCAGGTGAATTCTGTACATTAATATGAATAGACATCTGACATCTGAAAGTGAAATTAAACTACCATCATTTTCACTGTAAGATCCAGGCATAAATCCCATTAAGATCCTTTGGGATGACTGTACGGTAAGTATCTTGTTCACTCTCCAAAACCCTCAAATATGGCTGAATTAAAACAACTGTGCAAAGAAAAGGGAGCAAAAATTCCTCCACGGCGATATGAAAGACACAATAAGCAATAAGCAAATGCCTGGTTGCAATTTTTGCTGCTGGTTGAACAACTAATAAAAGTTTAGGGGCAGTTACTTTTTCGCACAGGATTTGGGCAGATTTTTTTCTCTTAATAAATGAGATCATCATTTAAAAACTGCATTTTGTTTTTGCTCAGGTTGTCTTTGTCTAATGTTAAACTTTGTTTGATGACCTAAAACATGCAAAGGTGACAAATATGGAAAAAAAAGCATCAGGAAGTGAGCAAATTTCAAAAGTACTGTACAAAGAATTAAAACATGTAATATGGCTGAAAGCAACACAGCAGTATGAGTATGTGTGAAAGGAGACACTGCAGAGTAATATAGTATTAGAAGTGTGTAAGCACTTTGGTCAGTAAGATTGGAAGATAGCTACTAAATTAAAAGTCTAGCTCATTTGAAGCCTGGAAAAATGCCAATTATCAGCTCATCAATATTGCAACTCTATCATTAAGACAGGGATTATGATGGATTTTATTCAAGTATTTGATTAAATTAATTATTACGAGTTTTCCTTTCCACTGCAGCTTTGGTGTTTAATAATTCATGAGCAAGCAAAAACAAATGTAAACAAAATGTAAAACATAGGCTTAGACTACGTGCATATTTGATATAAGGTCAAAAAGTACAAATAGGTGTCCATTTAAGGATCATATGTTAATGTGAGGGGCGATCGTGGCTCAAGAGTTGGGAGTTCGGAAGGTTGCCGGTTCGAGCCCTGGCTCCGACAGTCTCGGTCGTTGTGTCCTTGGGCAAGACGTTTCACCCGTTGCCTACTGGTGTTGGCCAGAGGGGCCGGTGGCGCCAGTGTTCGGCAGCCTCGCCTCTGTCAGTGCGCCCCAGGGTGGCTGTGGCTACAATGTAGCTGCCATCACCAGTG